ACAGAAATTGCTTGGAGCGCTGCTTTGATGGTTGGCTTTGAGTGTGACCAAGTAGTTTTTCCTTCACACTGTGGTTCACCCTCAGAGGGCTCGTGAGGGGTAATTTGTTATTCTAACAAAAATCAGCTATGTGTAACGTAGGTGTATTCAGATAGCCAAGCTCTCTTTAAAACTGCATATATAATTTCTCTGTTACTTTCAGGCAGAACTTAATGAGCTTCCAAGCATTCTGCATTATGTGTTTAAAGCAGGGGTGGGGTGGTAATGGATTCCGAGTTTCTGTGCTGACCTATAAAATCCTAGTGGATATGGCAAAAGTGGAAGGCAGTTACACCCGTCTGGGCACAGCTGCTACCAGAGCGTGGGATCGAAAGACTGAACTGCTGCTTTTGTGGCTGAAAACAGAGACTGGTTATCTAAAATAAATCAGATGACTGTGCTGCTGTCCTTCAGCATCAGGCTGGGTACGAGAGAAGGTGCTCTCTCCATCAGTGGGGAACGCTTTTTGACTTCACCTCTCCCTCGTTCATCTTACTGGCGCAACTACGATGCGAGCAGCGTTGCTGGTCATGCCTTGCTTTACGTTAGTGCTTTTGTTAATTTTTATGAAATGTTGGTCATCAGGAAAGATTGTTATGGTGAAAGAGCCGTTGTAATTAAGTTATTTCTGGGCTTTCGTAATTTTGATTTGAAGCAATTTGCACATAATCTTCATTGGAATATAAAATGCATCATCTGGGATTGTAACATTTTTTAAAAGTTGATTTTATAATGTTTTTATATAAATTTTGTAATATTAGTAATATTACAACTGAAAGGCCCTTCTTCCATTTGTGACTTTTCTCTTTTTCTAAGTGCATGTCTCGTGCAATGCATGGCATACTATAATGTAGGGTTTTTTTAATTACCTTCAGTTGTTTCTCAGTGTTCCAAGGTACCGTGTTGAGAGTCTTGTAGTTAATTGCCATCAGTTTTTTGATATGATTGAAACTGAGGGAATTGTAAGAAAAATTTGAGGCCTGTCTTTTTGTAACAAGTTGGCTGAATTGGTTTGGTGCGGTTTCTGTATCTGATGTGCAGACAAAATAAGCTTGTGGTTGGAAGGCTATGCAGAAAAACAAAGCTTTTGTAACTAAATTTCAGCTATGTAATGAAACTGAAATTATTCTAATCTTCAGAAAAGGGCCGTGGCGGAAGGGTAAAGATCACCCGAAGAGTTTACCCAGAGCCATTGTAAGATCCCGGCTGGATTTCCTGGTGGCCAAGGGCACTGCGACTGCTCTCTGGCTGGGGCCGCCGCCTCCCTCCCTCTCCTTTGGGGAAGGCATGGGTGCTCGTCTGGAGGTGCTGGTCCCAGCTCTGTGTCTGCCCACTCCTTCTCCACCTTGTGCTCAGGTGCAGATAGACTGGGGCCAAGGACTTGCAGCCCCTTCCTCGTAGCATCCTCTGAATGGCTTGTGGCTTGGTATACATATATATATTTATATATAGTATAATTCAGGCGGTGGTGCTGCTCTGGTAGCCAGGTGAGGGATTTGTGCTGCTGGACTTGCCTGGAGGCAGACCTAGAGCCCATCATGGAGATAAATGATGAACCTGACTAGAGGGTTACCCACAAATGTTGGGAAGAACGCAGAGATGTGTGGTTCTTGTGTGGACTCGTTCAGGATACTGGAGTTGTACCACTCTGGCTCCTATAATTTTTAGAATTGCGTCCAGTACACTTGGTGCAAATATCTAACACTTTGGCTAATTTAAACCTTACTTACATTAGTTTAGTTTAAATGTGGTGTTTAAAGAGCTGTAATTATCAGGCTGCTTTAGAAATTCATGGTGATTTAATGAGATCAATTCTGAACTGATTTTAATTAAACCAAGGAACCTTTTCCATTGTTACAGACGAGGCCTGTGACTGGCCTTTGTAAATGTTGATAAGGTATATCCAGTCCTAGAACTACTTTTTTTTGTGCATGACTGATTTCTTCTGTTGAAGGCAAATTTAGGCTGTTATTTTGTATATGAGCTAAAATAATTAAATTCCGAAGAACACTTTGTTCAGTTTTTTGTTCCCTTAGTCCAAGAGTGGTTCTTACTTGTGAAGACTTCTGTTAAAATACTCCCAGTACAGCATTTCACTGTCTTTTTATAGTAGAGAGGCTGATGGACTCCATGACCTTTTTGTATTTCTGGTTTCTGCGATGCGTTTTCCCGTGACAAAAGAGGATGTGAGAGATAGCTGGAGTATTCTAATTTATGGTGATACGAAGCAGAATGCAGAAGCTTAACTGCAGTCCCGTGGTGAGATGTGCCACTATTCTAGTATGTGGAAAACGTACAAACTGCTTTTGCTGAGGGTTGTTTGGAAAGGGTGTAGTGAATGTTGGGAAAAGTCTCCTGCGAACTCCTAATGCTTAAATTTTTGTGTAGGGCGTCATTGTAGTGAGGTGTGTAAGAGACCTGTGTTGGGAGTTGCTGAGGAGCTGAGATTCTGTGCACATCTATCAATGTACGGATTGACAAAGGGTTGTGATTAGAGATGAATATTATATATATTGCATGTACAAGGAAAAAACAAACCCTGAAACTTGTGTTTTTGAAAGAGCTCTGTGTGGGCAAGGAGAATATTTCTAACAGCTGAGATTCTGGCAATTGATTCTGTTTCAGTGAGTAGAGGGCAGCTAATGGAGGGCATAATTTAGCTAGCCACTAGATCCCTTGGAAGGGCGATTCTGGCAGATTGGTCTGGTCAATATGTTTTTGTGTTACAGAGTCGATGATGGTGCAGAGTGTGTATTCCCATTGATTGTGGGTAGGACAGGCGAATGGAATGTTTTTTGACTAGCAGTAAATCCATAAGAAACTGGAAGTAGTCACCGCATAATCTTTCATCCGTAGTTGTTTTTTTTTAAATAGAAATGTACAGAAAACAAAGACAAGATACCACATTCTGATCTCCCATTTTTAATGTTTGTTGTGCTTTTTATCTTGGTTCTTTCAGCCAGGCTCTGCAAACAGCAAATTTATCTTTTCATCTATGTAAGTGAGGTAAATGTGGGGAAATAGAGCTATTGAGCAGAGGCCCTTTCTTAACGGTGTTAGTACTGCAGCAGTGCTACCAAGCGTATGGTGGCATTAGTTTTCCAGGACTGATGATCCTGCATGCAAAACTTTAACTTCATGGCTTGGACAACATGTAGTACAGTAAATCTAAGTGACAACTTACAAAATACCTCATTGGACTGACATCTGCAGCCATGGAGCGTTAGTTGCATCTCTGCTGGAAGCAGAATCGGAATCACTTGCTCATACTGACGAAACATGGATATAAACACAAGAAACTGGACATATTCAACAACAATTTATGCAGAATCACAGACTGTTAGGGGTTGGAAGGGACCTCTGTGGGTCATCTAGTCCAACCCCCTGCTGAAGCAGGGTCACCTACAGCAGGCTGCACAGCACCATGTCCAGGCGGGTCTTGAATATCTCCAGAGAAGGAGACTCCCCAGCCTCCCAGGGCAGCCTGTTCCAGGGCTCTGTCACCCTCAGCGGGAAGAAGTTCTTCCTCATGTTCAGCTGGAACTTCCTCTGCTTCAGGTTGTGCCCATTGCCCCTTGTCCTGTCGCTGGGCACCACTGGAAAGAGTCTGGCCCCATCCTCCTGACACCCACCCTTGAGATATAAGCATTTCTAAGGTCCCCTCTCAGCCTTCTCTTCTTCAGGCTGAAAAAGCCCAGCTCCCTCAGCCTCTCCTCGTAGGAGAG